TTTAAGGGTTCGGGAGGTCTCCAAACATGTAGATTTGCAAAAAAAAAAAAAAAAAAAAATGGAAGTTTTGATTAGAAATAAATACCTTTTCTTGTCATATATCCAATAATAGCCTGATCTCATCGTCTCTCCAAATATCTTTTTTATTTCTCTGTTGATAGTCTGACACATGTTCCGCAACCATCTTGTTTCTTCTTGCACACATGGGATTGTGGGAACTCTCCTTATGACTGGATCTAGTTTCAAAAACTCTCTTGTGTCGATCGCAATTGAACCTCATTTCAGTTGAGATTAAAATTTAACATTGTTTATGCCAGAGCTATATTTTTTTTTTTATAAATAATAAAAAAGTGTTCAAAATGATTTATTTTGTATATATTTTATTACAACACGTGTTCCACAGCCATCTTGTATTTTCTTGTGCGCGTGGGATTGTGGGATCTCTCTTATAACTGGATTTAGTTTCAAGAACTCTCGAGTCGATCACGATTGAACCTTGTTTCAGTCGAGATTGAAACGGTCGAGGGAGGTCGCACCAAGGCGAACGTGGTATAAGGCTCTAGTTTAGTAGTGTTACAGAGTATGATACGTATATTTTAATATATTTTTTAAAAGAAACAAAACCACTGAGAAATTTACGTGTGTTTAACAAAGTTCGGAAAACTTTGAAAATGTTAACAACAGGTTCGGCTGAACCTGTGCGAACCCGCTGAATATCACCACTGCATGTTTGACATATATTCTTAGGTACAGAATTGCGAAAAGAAAGAGAGCGGGTGCCTGCGGTTTCTCAGCTTATATCAGGCAGCCAAGCCCTCAGGTGACGCTCCCTTTACAAGTCCTGATGAGTCACAACATGACATCTCCTTCCGTCCTAGAAAGATACATAATCTTTCCAATATTTCAAGGGTTGTCTTATGCGTGTCTGAAATTCCTTTCTGGGATTGCTGATAGATGCATCCAAACTTTATTCCACTCCATCTGGAACTAGCTCTTCTATGTTCGACTTGTTGTTGGGAGGAGACTCTTTGTTTGTCAGTTGGGCTGTAGTCTCCTTATCTGGTAAATGTCGTTTGAATTTGATCTGTAAGCCACTTAATCATATGACCATCCTCTGTGTGGGCCAAATAAGCGACATTCTCTCTCACATCCTTGATGTCAGCTGGGGAAATTGAAGCTTTGAATTATAAACTGGATCACCCTTGTTCTTACAGTTTAAATGAGTAGCATAGCTACAAAACAGAGGTATCTTGATGGGTAGGCCAGCATCTGTAAACTGGTTATTTGAAGAAATTCTTCCATCATTCAATGACCAAATCATTGTTTACACCTGATATGGTGATGATCATCTTATAATTTGGGACAAAAACTGAATTTAGTCTAATTCTTAATATTTATCAACAAAAATCCTTACAACTTACTCTGTGCTGAGCAACAAAGCCACCATTCAGTAAACTTTCTGAACATCCCATCTCACACTTTATGATGGCCACATTTTCACTAAAGTTAACAGAAAAGCTGAGTACAAGCCACTATTCATTCCAACAGAATCAAGATCCTTACCTGTTTAAAATGATTGTCTATAGAGCCCTAGTTGAAAAGAGCTTTTACCCATTCTTCCAGCATCATCAACTGAGATATCAAACTAGATCATAACACTCTTGCAAAATAACATGGGTATTCTTAAAATCTTGTCAAAAACCTCATCCACAAGTATCAATCTGGTTACATACCTAAGAAAGACAAATCTAAAATTCACAAATTCATCAGATTTAACCATCTTCTTTCTAAGATTTACAGATAAATTGCAGAAACCAACCAAAGCAGCATTTCATATAAGAAAACCCATTCATTTTTTCATTATTAAGAAATGCAAAAAACCTTGTTGATAAGAAATGTTCACCATCCTCATTACAAACAACAGATTCAACAAGGAATAGGTCTATATTGGACAAACAACTTTTTCTATAAACCTATGTACAACCTTGAACAAAAGTATGAAATATTTTGTAATTGTTGCAGAAAAATTATTTTGATCCTCAAATAATTAAACTCACAAAACTATTGTTGAACTTTTAATAATTGGCAAATATAATATACATATTAGAGTATTTACACACCAAACTTCATAAAGGTATCTGCATAAATTCTAAAATTACAGCATTTTAAACATAGTAAGAGTTGAACAAAAGTGTGAAATCATGAAAAATATTAAACAAAAGTATGGAATAATGATGATTAATTAATATTTTGTAAGGCCACCTTTCGCCCTAATTACAGCCTTAATTCTTCATGGCATTGTAGAAATGTTTTTTACACAGTTCTGGATCAACCTGTGACCATGATCCTTTGACTGTCTTCTTTAATTCTTTATATTGTTGTAGCTCTTTTTTTTAGAGATCATTTTGTTCAGAACATTCCAAACATTTTTAATGGAAAATATGTCTGGTCTGTTGGAGGCCATTCTGATGCTGTATGTTTATGTTCTTGAAACCATTGCTTAATTTATCTAGCCCACCGATTCCCAAACTTTTTTGAGCCATCACTCTCTAATTCCATAAAGTTATACCCAATGCCCTTAGCCCATTTTCTCTTATGTTAGAATATTTCTAAGCCTTTTCTATGAAACTCACACTTTGTATTCTTATCATACATTGTTCTCCTTATTTGGAAACCATTAAATGCAACATTTCTTCTTAGCCCTTTTTTAAAGAGGAAAGGGAAAGATTTTTAGTGATCCCAACCCTTGCCTATGGTCACCATTTAGTATCCTGCCTCAGGCACCCCCTGCCACCCACTTGCTTCTTTTCACCCCCCTAGATTTACTCACTGCTCACAGAGGGGCAGTAGCACCCACTTTGAAACCACTGGTCCAGTCCTATGGCATGATGCATTTTCATCAATAGATGAAATTCTCATCACCAAAGTGATCATCTGATGTTTTAATGACCAAAGATTCTAAGAAAACTCCAAGTAACTATCAGCATTCAATGGATTATCAAGGACTGTGATTTTGCTAACTCCTTTACAGATTATACAACCCCACATCTTTACACTTTTAGGAAATTTTCCTGATTAATTCAAACAGTTAGGATGGAATTTTTCATCTGGTTTTCTGTATACTGATCTGCTGCCATCATTACCATAGACAATACATATTTTTGATTCATCTGTGAACATAACTCATTGCCAGTCATTAACACTCCAGCGTTTATGAGTTTTGGCACATTTCAAATGATTTTTCTTTTGTTTTTTTTTGTCATATAGGGCTTTGTTTTGACTTTTCTTGAGTGGTAATCTTTTTTGGATAGCCTCCTCCTTACTGTAATGTCTGACATATTAATATTTGTCTCTTTCCATTTTGAATTAATGCTACTTGATGGCATAATTCAGTTTTCCTTAACAATTTTAATTAAGTTATAGTCATCTCTCTTGGTTGTAGATCTCGGTCTTTTAACCCATTACTGATTTTTCATAGTTCCAAATGTTTTAAACTTTGAAATTATTTTCAAAACTTCCTTGAATGCATTGTAATGTTTTTGCTATTATCCTTTGTAATTTTCCTTCATGATGCATTGAAATTATTAACTGTTTCTTATCTTTAATTAACTCACTACTGGATGCCAACATTCATTTCATTATCATGTTCATTTCAATTTTATACTTCATTATATTGATATCATAATACTCTAATATACCTATTTTATTTGCCAATTATTAAAAGTTCAATAATATTTTTTGTGTTTGATTATTTAAGAATCAAAATAATTTTTCTGCAGCAATTACAAAATATTCCATACTTTTATTCAGTAGTAGTATTAAGAAGCATCTGTATTCTATCTATATGGACCTATCCAGGGCAAGTTCTGGGCTGTTAGCTGCCTGTGTGCTAAAGACATTTAGCCGCTGCCTCCCGCCCCCATTATGTGAATTGCGAGTAGATTTATAACTTAACCCAACCAATAGCAGTTTACTAGTATGTTTTTATGATAGTTCTGTATAGTTGACAGGAGTTTAAAAAATCCATAAAAATATATGATGTATTTATTTTAATTTTATTGAAATCAAAAATGTAAGATGTAAAGCAGAAGTAACAAAATACAGTACAGTGGAACCTCGGTATACGTCTGCTTTAGAATACGTCAAATTCGAAATACGTCCTGTTTGGACAAAACAAATTTTGCTCGGTATACGACTTTTGTTCGGTATACGACTTAATTATACGCGCCATCTATGAACAACTGTCGGTGTACTAGACCAGACTAGACGTTCACGGTGCCACAGTTTATAACTTTGTTAGATTTCTTCTGATTTTAATTTCTAAGTAAAATTTTATTATTAATCATGAATTGCAAGAAGGCAAATGAAAAGCAACAGAAAACTAAAAAAATGACTAGATTCAAAACTGAAAAAAGAGATTGTTGAGAAATATGAAGGTGGCACGTGTGTTCAAGATTTAACTGTTGCATACCGTATTCCGAGAACGATGATATTGACAATCGTGAAAAATAAAGACATTGTTAAATCTGCTAATGTTGCGAAAGGGGTTAAATCATTTTCTAAACAGAGATCGAAGACATTAAATCATGTTGAGAAATTGCTTTTGCTTCGGATAACTGAAAAACAGTGTGCTAGAGACACTGTATCAGAAGCAATTATTTGCCAGAAAGCTACAAAAATACATGCTGATCTCATGAAAAATCAAGCAGGAACTAGCGAGGAAAGCGAGGTGTTTCAAGCCAGCCATTTTTTTTACATGAGAACGAATTAATCATTTTTACATTACTTCTTATGGGAAAGGTTTATTCGGTATAAGTCCAACAATCAGGAACGGATTAAGGTCGTATACCGAGGTTCCACTGTATATCCAAAAAGTTAGAATTACACTCTTCTTGCTTTCTTATTTGCCAATTTGTCAATAACATCTGATAATTCTAAACTTTCACACAATTCTTTTTCTATGGTTAGCAGTCCTAGATCATTAAACCTTTCTTGAGTCACTGACATTCTTAAATATGTTTTTATAAGTTTGAATTTCGAAAAACTCCTTTCATCCGATGCTACACTAACTGGTAGTCAGAAAAATTCTCAAAGCATAAATAGATTAGGAAATGATGACAAAGTTATTTTTTGCAATATATGTCAATTTTTTTAATGCATCTGCAATTTCACTGTTCAAATTTTCAAATATGTTAACAGCTCATTGAAGAGCTCAAGACCATCAACATCCTTAATTCTTGTGCTTCCTTTGTTAATTTGAAGGGAAACATCTAAATCAAAACAAGATTTTTTAATTTTGTCTTCAGTCATTTCTCCAAATTCACAAAGAAATTTAAATACATTATTGCACTCATTTAGATTTTCAAATATTTCCTGAATGGAATTTAGAGATGTATCAACAATTATTAGATAAAATTGTATTTTAAATGTTTAAAGACAAATGATTTTGATTTATGCAAGATCTTCCTCAGATTTACATAAAATGGAATGCATTTGGAATGTTAATGAATTTAAACAAAAATGTAACTTTCAAATACAAAAAAACAAAAAATAGTGCAGTATCAATATAACTACAGAAAAAGTATAAAAATAAACATTAAAATATTAAAAATTGATGTATATTATTATGATGATGTGATCCCTTTATATGCTTGCATCATCACTGTTCCCATGTATATATGGTGTTTTCCAAGCACATGACAAGCACTGACCCTCTTTAAAGTTGATACAGTGGCCTTTATTTTCCAATTAAAAACCTGGAGGTCATAGAAATTTTTATGTAATCAAGAAGACTAATGATTGATTATAGTTGCCTTGTCAAGTAGAACATACACATTGTTATCAGATGCGTAAAGACGCATAAGTAGCCAGGGTGGTGGTGTTTTTCTTTTTATTAATATTAATATCATATATGTTCTGCTATTCTAACTATAATCAAAACATTAGGCATCCTGTGTACATAAAAACCCTGAAGGCTATATAAATTTTTAAATCGGAAAACAAAGGCCACTGTATTAACTTTAAAGAGGGTCAATGCTTGTCAGGTGCTTAGAAAACACTATGTACTCTAAATTGATTGAGGTTTATTATTGGTATTATTTTCCAATCTCATTTGGTGTGAATTATTTCTCCAAAAATTTAAATTGTTACTAGAGTTGAAAAAAGTGATCAATTTTTAATTGAAATATGATGTTAATGAGATGGTGGAAAGTTACATACTGTATTATTTTTTTTTGCCAAATTTATAAGAAAGCCAGCTTTTGATTTTTATCATCAAATGAAACAGCTACTTGTTTTATAGTTTAGTATTCTAACAAGTATCTGTTGTTTTATATTTGCTTCCATTATTCCATATAAAACTTACTTTACAGAGTGATTAGTGATAATGGTACCAAACTTTACCTACATTTGTAAATATGACAAACAACTTTGGTCCCATTAACATTTCTGGAAATGCACTATTGAGGGTCTAGAAAAGTTTTATTCTCAGATGGAATACAGCAAATGATCCTGAATATATCAATTACAACAGCCATTCAAACTGATGTCCCTCCAATATCATTGCAAATATTGAGGTGATATAATAAGTGCTGTAAGAATAATTCTTACAGCCCTTATTGAGTTGAAAGACTCATCATTTGCAATAGGGTTTGACAATTATTGTCAAACCCTATTGCAAATGACGGGTCTCTCAACTCTGGTCAAGGTTACAGTAATTCTTGTTTTGCCAGCTCTTCTACTATGCTGATAGGGATCTTATACATTTTGAGGTGATCCCACAAGAAAAAGTCTAATGAAGTGAGTCTGCACTGGTTCACTTCTGCCCACCCAACACTGGGAAAAAACCATGTCTAAGCAGAAGCACTCTGCAAGAAAAATGAGTTGGTGCTCCATCACTGTTTCATCCAGTGGTCAACTGCTTGTGATTAATTTTTATGCTGTTTACTTTTAAACTCGTGAAACAGCAGTTGGAACTGGTAGAAAATGAGCAGCAGAAAGGCATTAGTATGGGAAATGCTATCCCTTGTCTCCCTGTATGGCTATATCCCTAACTATAATATTGTTTTGTAGCAAAATATCCAAACAAATTTATCATAAATTTTAAAATATATTCAAATAAGAATGAATTTTTATTGCTTAACTATTTATAATAAGTTTTTAAAAAATATATTTGGAAGTAAATTAATTGTTAATGTTTTTGCTTGATCTTCTCTAAAATTCTTCAAACATTTACATGTAAATTCCATATTAAAACAAAGAAAATATCAATATTATGACAAATAAAATTATCTTTTATTTATAATTTACAACATACATAAATGAATACTGTATAGTCTATAAGAAGTTTACAAAACAATTAAGAAAAAGCAAATACTTTGTTTAATTGTGTTTAGCAGAGAATTAATTATGTTGCTTGAAAACAATCCACACAAATCTTCACTGCTTTGTTTTTGCTACAGGACGTCTAAACAACAAAATGTGGGGCTCTGAAAAGATAAAGTTCATTTGAAAATTACCAATATTTGCAATATTCAATTTACATAAATACTTTTCATCTTAAATAAATAATTTTCAATAAAACTAAATCAAAGGATAATATAAATGAAGAATAATCCATCTTTTGAATTTGATTCTATAATTATATTTAATTAATGATGATGGAAGCTTTATTATGGAAAAATTATACTAATATGACATTAGTATAATTTTTGGAGAAGAGATACAGAAAGAAAATGAAGAAAAAAATACTATATTATTGTTTAAATTTGATTATTATTAATTTTTTCCATAAGATGCTAAAAATATATTAAATTAAATATGAAATGCTTTGGGGGGCGCTTCTGTCTGCCGAAGCTGCTGGCGTGTTTTTTTACTCACTTCAAATACAGGTAAAGAACGTATCCTGTCAAATAATTTTACGTTAAAATTTTACTGTTTGTGCTGTGTGTTAACTTTATAATTGTTGGAAAATCTATCAACATAATTAATATGCAACGCTCGCCAATTAAAAGAGGAAGACCACCACTTCAAAAGTCAAAATCAACTAGTAGAAAGGAATCTGCTTCGACCACTAATTCCAGGTTAATTACTGACTACAATTTACACGTCGAAAGTACTTCTCCTGAACCATCCTCTGCAAACGCAGGTTTGAACCCTGAAACTACACTTCTAAGTTCACAACTATCAGGTGAGCCATTCGATTTTTTATCTTCTTCACCAGGAAAAAATTCATCTGATATATCAAGTATCACATTATGGAATAAAATTTCTGAATTAATTAATGTCTCTAATACGAGAATATTAAATCAAATGACTATTATTAAAGAAGATCTGAACCAGATTCGTAATAGTATCCAAGAAACTAAAGACCAGAATCAAAAAATGAAGAGCCAAATAATTAATCTTGAACAACAAATTGCTAATTTGAAAATAGAAAATGAAAGTATGCAATATCGAATGGACAATATGGTTAATGTGCAACATCGCAATAATATAATGTTATATAGATATCCCAGTAAAACTAGTCCTTCCAAGCTAGAAGTGTTTAATCTTATTAAAGAATCATTAGAATTACATGAAGTTACAATGGATGACTTAATAGCGATTATTCCAATAACTAAATCACAGTATCCAACAATTAAATTAATTATTAAAAATACTCAAATAAGAGATTACATATATTCGAGATTTATAAAAATGAAACAGCAAAATCTATCGAACGTATGGAAAGAAACTCAAATTTCACAGGACCTTATAAAAAGATCTAGATTAAGACGTAAACAATTAATTCCTTTTTTAAGCGAGTTAAGGAAAGCAGGTAAATATCCAAAACTCCGAGGTGATACTATACTGTTGGGCAATTATTCTTTGACGTATAGCTATGTGTTGGAGGGGCTGGTATACTTGGATTCTTTTACCCCGTATTTTACTTCTGAGAATACTCCGCAATGACATATGATCAATTTAAACACTCCTATTCAAGACTTACGTTTTGTGGAGACTCAATTATTAAGTCCCTTGCCTGCTGCACATAACAATAATGAAAGTTTATACGATATTACGTTCAATCAAAAAGTCTCCCATTTATAATTAATTGGAATTCCCAAGGTCTTAAGTAATGTCAAACAGAATAAAATGGGTCATGACCTTTTAAAATTAACGACTCAAGCTCAACTATATATTTTTTAATAGCAGAATTGAAAAGGTCTATATTTCTGCATTTACTTGTGTATTTACTTCGGGAAGTTCTACAATTGATCTGTTTATATGTTTAGAATTTTTTTTTTGGTAGATTTATGTTCAGAAATTTAGTTCTAAACAGTGACTTATCGGACAATTTTCCGGTTAGTTCTTACTTTGGATTGAAAGTTTCGTATCATATAAATTATATTATACCGAAGTATCTGATAACTGACTATTAATATCAACGATATTAAGAATAAATCAGTGATAGGATGTGCTGTTTACTGGCTGAGAGATTAACCGAAGATATCGAAAAATATACTAAGTTTGTAAATATAATAAAAGAATATGTTAAAACAAGATAGAATAGAAATTCGAAATTACTAAGATCAAAAAACCATGGTATGAGTCGGATTATATGAATTTAAGAATGAAAATAACTAAAGCATTACTCCAGTTTAAAAAAAATTATTTACATCATTTATCAACTCGTAAATTAAAAACGAAAACAGCTCTTGGAATGGATACAACTACCACTAAATTTATTAAACTTTTTCTGCCAGCGGATAGGCAAGTTCTACTTGATCTTTATAACTATTTTCATAAAACATTTATTATATTCTCACTGAGTGTCCAAAGCTTGAGGAAGCGCAATGTAAATCCAAATTAAAAGAGATTTTTGATTTAAGTTAAGAAGAAAATTTCAGAACCAATCTAGAAAAGAATTCCATTATGTAAGATGCATAATATTCATAACTTTTTTGTTCATATTTTAAAGAATTTGAAATATGATATGTAGACTGAATGATTAATATGTTATGTTTAGCAAATTTTATGTAACAAGTTATTTAAAAAATGTTTCAATAGGTAATAATTGTATTTTTGTAATTCTTTAGAGTTAACCCCCTGTAACAAGATCTTTCTTATTACAATAAAGTATTTGTAATATAATATGAAATGCTTTCATTAATTTTAACTTTCAGTATAAAATGCAATCAAAAATGTATCTTTATAAACTCTCTCATCAGAAATGATTCCATCTACACCTAGAATAAGCAAGTATTGACACTCAATTTGAATTTACAGAAACTAAAACAATTGACAAACATCATGAAACCCAATAAATTTGTAAAGCCAAACAACCACTGGATTACATCAGGCTACATGTAGCTCGATGTACTCTGGTGGTTGTTTAGCTCAAACAATTGAATCTTTGCAAATTAGTTTGTTTTAGTAAAAATTTATAAAAAAAACTCAATGCAGGGACTTCTAAGTACATTTTGGTAAGATTAATGTATAGTATATAGGAACTTTACAATTGAAGAATGCAAAACACCTGAAATGCATTTTGTGAAATTAACTGTCACAATGTACTGTACATAAAATAAATTATGCATTAATTTAAAAAACTTTTTCTGAAAATGAACTAGTTTTCAAGACTAATTCAAACTAAGTAAGATTTACAACACTCCTCTTCCATTTTTTGATAAATTAAAAGTTCAAGAAATCAATTTAATAAAAACAAAACATTTTCAAGAAATAAAAAACAATACATCAGAAATTAAAAGATTTGAATATAAATAGCATTGAAAAGATTTGAATATATCATTGTTCATATTCAAATCCATTAATGAGGAACAAGAATGGTAAAGCTGATAATGATGATAACCTTATGCTAGCAAGAGTGGAAAACCAATCAGTAGCTAAAGAAATAAAATTGTTAGGATAGCTAAAGCAGAATGACGGAGAAAAGCAAATCAAAGAAAGGAACAGATATTACTAATGAAGGCTTTCATTTAAAAATGGATATAAAAGAATAGTTAAAAGAACTTTATAATTATAATTTTATTCACATGTTTTCATTTTAATATTTTTTAAAATTTAAAATGCATTTCAGCCATTTAATTTAATAGCAAAATTTTAATATCTTATTTCAAAAAATTTGCACTTATTCAAAATTTAAAAAAGTCTTTGAATGTATGAAATATGCATCTTGTTTTATGAAAACTATAAATTGTCTAGAAAATAGATCTAGTGTGAGTTATGTTGTTTCATCTATAAGGAAGGACTAAGGGTTGTTGTTAAGGCAGTCAAGGAAATTTTCCAGTGGTGAGTTGCCTTTCCAGATGATACTGTGTTTGTAGAAGATTGGTTAGCTGGCCATATTAATATGTCACATCAAAGACATATACCCTGGTGGTAATGCCAATGGTGACATGATACTGTCCATACACATGCCATTTTACCAGAAACCTATGTAAAGTTCAACAAGACTGGATTGGTCTAACAGTAAATTAAAAGTTTTTGTAATATAAATCACTTAAAATATAACAGTTCAAGAAAAAAGACATTTATTTTGATAAAGACACTTCATACAAACAAAACTAACCAACATAATACAAACACTAATTAAAATAACAAAGAATAACTATCAGAAAACTTAATATAAGAAATCTGTTTTACTTTTTTCATTCAGGATTTAAACATTTTTCAGGATATAAATCTCCATCAGAATTCACAAACAAACAAACAAACAAAAAGGAACATTATCTGTGAGTCTCTGGACAGGTCTGACATTATCTGTGAGGCTCTAAAATAATTGTTTTAGAGAAAAAAATATAGTAGTTAGAAATAGATTTTTATTTTATGAAAACGCAACGCTAACGTTTAAACAATAGAAGAATGTAAGTCCGTCGACCATTTCCAGTCAGAGATCAAATTAAACTTCGATTTTGACCTCTCCCGCACCCCGAAAGGTTTCAAATTGTCATCAGGTGATGAGGAGAGACCAATCAGAAAGGGAAATCTGAGAGAAAACGGATAAAACCCCGGAAATTCAAGGACGCGACAGCTTCTTCTCCCGAAAGTTCCAAGTGACGGATCTGTTGTTGTTGTGTGTGTATATCTCGCACCCATCTTCGTCTCCATCTCCCGACCTCAGATCGACATCTTTCCATCAATGGAAGTCGACTGCATCGTCCTGGAGTCGTCGAGACGTGATGGAATGGTTCATTCGATAACAAGGGACACTCCTTCAAAATGGGACTATCTTGGAAAGGAGAGGAAGACCCAGAGGCTGCAGCCGCCGCAGAACTTCCAAGATTGCAGAAATCTTGTAAGCTTCTTTTGTGTTTAATAAACGGTTGTGTTGTTTGTAAATGAAGCATCTATCTCTGACTCAACTGCTTCCACATGTCGTTGATTGTTACCACTCAGCAATCCAAATAGCAAGGGAGACGATGACGATATATATCACATATTGTCGTTCATCGAGTAGTTTTTTTTATTTCTCCCCCCTCAACCC